AGAAATATGACAACAAGCACAAAGTTTGTTTCTGCAACTGGTCACGCAGTCATGGCTGGTATTTATAACTACCTTTTTCTACTAGCCATTATGTATTTCCTTGACCTTCAGCAAGCACTTCAATAGATCTTGCTTGGTTCTTTACTTGTTGAGGTGACCCACACCTTCATTCCTAAAGTGTCTGAGTCATTTATCATCTGGCCTGGATTGGGTTGTGTAGTTTCTCATTGACATAAGAGATCTCCTTCACTCTAAAACATACTCTTCTTTTTCTGTGACGGAGCAGTAGTCAAGTTTCCCCTTGGTAATCAGGATCAATCACCTCTGCCAGCACCATAACTCCCTTTTCAGCCTGCTGATACAAGAAGACCAAGTTGGTCATGGGGGTTCTAGCTTCCAGTTCAATGGAGTCACTGTTGTGTATCCTGGTAGAAACCTCCCCAAATTAAGACTTATTACTCATACATCACTAGGAGTGATGTTGAGTGGTATCATTTCTGTTTCAACTCCTTGGTTCACAGATCCATGTTTGTTGGCTATGGTCTATTCGATGCTGAATCAAAGCATATAGTGCCTTTCTCTAGCCCTACAAGGTACTGACACCTAGCTGGTGCTGTAACTGAATTTTCAAAGGAACATTCTACCATTCTATCAATCTATTGCTTTGGGAAGAAGACCCAGTTGGAGGATTAAAGAATCTGGAAGAGGAAATTTCAAAGCAGCCCAATGTTCAGGCTGTGATATGATTACTGCTAGCTGCTTTTAGCAAGATTTATAGTAAGAATCAGAAGGGTTCTTAAATTTATCAGAAAGGAAGTGCCTACAAAGTTGTAGGTAGGAGAGCATGATTGTTGGAAAGTTATTAATGAAAAGAAGTCAAGTATTTTCCATTAAGACAATAGGAAAGATGGCTTGAATGCTTTTCAGGAACCAAGAAGACTTCACCCATCACAGGCTTAAAGGTGGAAAACTGTAAAGTTTTCCTTTATGAAGATAGTCCCCAGGATGCCTGCTCAAGAACAACTACCTGAGAAATTGTTTGGCTGGGATTCATTTTGCTGTGCTTTCCATCCAGCCATTTAGAGGATGCTGCAGTCAGGATCCAAGAGGGCCCAACTATCACTCAAGCTGGTAGAATACCTTGGCATCTTGTATGCACAAGTATGCAGAATGCAAGAGTCATGGGGTTATGGAGGCTTCCTTCAAGATTTCAGAATAAAGCCTGGAAGAGTAGTGAAGTGTGTGATTGGGTCACTGTACCTGCCAGAAGCCTATGAGAGGGTAGTATGTGAAGCTAAGAGTGAACCTGAAGGTACAGTGAAGACCCCAAGAAGTTGGAGATACCAGGAACATGGGTCAACCTCTGAGGAAAGCCACAGGATGAGTGAAGACAGTCTAAAAGAGAGACCATTAGGGGCAAACAGCAAGGCCAGTGGAGCAGGGATGCCCAACTTCTTTGGAGTTCAAATCTCATCAACACTTTCCCAAGGTGCTGGATATGGAGCTACAAGATTTAATTTTGCCCTTGTAGGACCAGACTTGCCTTAGTGCTATTTCTATTTCTATTTCCCCTCTTGAAATGGCAATGTTTACCCTATGCAATTGTATGTTGGAAGTATTTGACTTATAGGGGCTCATAGCAAAGAGTTTGCCTTGAGTCTCAGAGAAGACTTTGAACTTGGATTTTTCAGCAATGCTGGAACTGTTAAGATTTAGACAATTCTTAGATATGCATTAAGTGTGTTTTAAATAATACAATGGACATGAGTCTTTTGGAGGCCACAAGTTGAATATTACATTTTACATCTAAAATGTCCCCCAAAAGTTTCATGTATTTGGAGGGTGATTGGATTGTTTAGGTGCTATACTCATCAGTGGATTCATCTGTTAATAAGTTCAATATTTGAGTGTGCTGTTAGCAGGTAGGACCTGGTTGGGTTTGGGTCACTAGGGGCCTGAAATGGAAAATAGTATTCTTATTCTTGGCTCTTTCCTTCTCTCTCTGCTTTCTGGCTGTAATACGTGGGTTGAGTACCTTTTTCTTGGCCATGCTCCTCTGCCATCCTGCTTCTTCCTTGGAGCCAGCTGACTGGACAGAAACTATGAGCCAAAAGTAAACCTTCTTTAAATTGTAGGTGTTGGGTTTTTTTTCACTAGGTAGGCTGATACGATGAGGTGGTAGTGCCCACAATGGCTATCTGTACACTGGCAAGGCAGAGGCTCTTCTAGTATTTGATTAGTCCAAGAAGCTGGAAGCTATGGAACAAGAGGGATAAAGGATGGAACACCAAGCAGTTCAGGACTGAAGGCTTGGGATCTCTGTGGAGAGTTGTGCTGGTTTGAATTCACAATAAAAGGCTGAAGAAATGGAGTCTGATTTTTATAGGCAATGGCAGTAACAAAAACACATTCACTCAAGCAGAATGGAGCTTTTCCAATGTAGGCCAATTTCTTCCTTCTTCCTTTTCCTTCCACCCAGACTATAAACTTATTGGATGGTGCCACCCAAAATTAGGGTGCATTTTCTCCATTAGTTTGCTGGCCCAGATGCCAATAATCTCTGTACACTTAAACAAACATATCCAGAATGTTCTCTACTAATTTACTAAGAATTTCTGAATACAGTCAAGTTGACAAGTCACCATTAACCAGGGAGGAAGTATTGCACTGGAACAGCTCATATTTTTAGCTAAGGAGGTGGAGGAGTGTTCTGGATCCACCTGTAAGGATCTATATGAAGCACAGTTTATGAAGTTATTTCTTGGGAGTTTCTAGCTTTCTATAAAATAGTGGAGCCAAAGGGCTAAAGAAGAGGCTTTGAAGGAAGAGTAAAGTTTTAGCATCTGAAGAGAATGGGAGGAAAAACTACTCCAAAACAAGCAAAAAGAAGTTTTAAGTGTTGTTAGACACCAGCTAAGGCTTTATGCTGTATATCACAACAGCTTATGCGCAGAGGCATTGTTTTCAACAGCACAGTGTAGAGCAGTTTAACTGCTAGGGCAGCATGTGAAATGGAGGGTGCTGAAGAGAGAACTGACAATGAAACTTAATAGTGAAGAAAACGGTGATCGATAGGGTATTGGTAACTGCAGATCATTTTTAGGCTTGCTTCTGAAAGAGTCCCATGGGAGCTTTAAAACTTTGTCAAGACCTATGTAGACAGGGTCTGTAATTTTACTATGCTTAAAAACTATTAAATTAACCTGCTGCAGGATGCTGGCAGAAGACCTGAGATTCCTGGACAGACAAAAAATATTTAATTGTTATGGTAAAAATAGTTGCCAAAACTTCATGCTCATTTGTGCTGCTACAGAAGTGTCTTACTTTCTTGCTGCTGGGACAAAATACCCAACACCCAAAGCTAAGGGAGAAAAAGTTTATTTTAGCTCACCATTTGTAGAGCTTTCACTTCATAGTTGGCTGGCTCCAAGGCCAAGTGGTATGTTTGTGGGGTATGGCAGAGAAGAACAGTCTATGGTGTGACAGGCAGGAAGCACCAATCAGTGAGCCTTCCTTTCACTTTTATTTCATTTAGGATACAAGCCTTTTGTTGGTGCCACACATACTCTGGGTCAAGTCTCATAATCCACAGAGCTATGATAAACCAATCAGTAAGCTGATCCAGTTATCACATAATCATCCAGTATCACACACCCATGGTTCAGCCACCTCCCCAAAGCCCCACCTATGAGTACAGGAGGCTTCAGGGGAACATCTAGAGATAAGCGATAACAATAATTTCTGTAGCACATGTTTGTGCACACATTGGTATGAATTCTAGGAAGTGACGGTTATCTCAAAGAGGCATTACTTTATACTAAATTTAGTAAAAGTCTGGACCTTTCCAAAGGGAGTAATTGCCTTATTCTTCAAGTACTTGCTGTGAACACAACCCTGAGAAATGGCTTTCCTAAAGGGTAGTCAGAACTTCGCATTTTTGGGATACACAGCAAAGAGAAGTAGGGCTGCTTAGGGCCTATGGAAGATCGCCTCAGCTATAGTTGTAGTGTTCAGGAGATACTTGGTCCTCAACAAATGTTAACCATAACTGATGATCAAGTTGACATTCATAATTAGTGGAATTCTATTTAAAATTCAAGAGATATAAGTGAAGGAGTTGAAGATCTGTGATCAGGGGTATACATATTTTACTAATGATAATAGATTTGATATTAAGCTTCAACAAAATTGAAACTCTAGAGGAGCTGACTTATTTAGAGATGGAATGAAAAAAATCTGGAAGTTTGAATTAATTTGTTCCAGAACATTACTCTTTTTACAATCTGTTATGGTTTAGACAAAAAACATCCCCTTGGATGTCTCAAGCGTTTAGACGTGGGTATTTTGCAAGTGATTGGATCATGGGGCACCATGTTCATGAGTGGATTCATCCAGCTAATGTGCTGTTAGGAGGTTGGGCCTGGTCAGAGGTGCATCACCAGAGGCATGATCCGGAAGGGTGTGTTCTTGTCCCTGGTTCCTTCTTTCTTTCTCTCCCACCTGTCTGCCATGGGTTGAAGAGCTGTCCTCTGCCATGCCCCTCTACTATGCTGTTTCTGGCCCTTGAACCAGCCAACCATGGGTTGAACCCACTGAAACTGTGAGCAAAGCAAACTCTCCTATTTTAACTTGCAGGTGTCCTGTATTTTATCCCAGCAATGGGAAAGACAGACAGTATTAGAATCATGCATGTGTAAAAACGTTAACATATATGAAAAGGCTAAAAATCATAATCACACATCTGTAGACATAATGGGTATGTATGAATTGCAAAGAAAGAAATTCACTTGTGTATTGAATGTTAATCTTATATACTACTTACCTACAAGTTGAAATGGACACAACTGGATATAAAAAGCTGGAAGAAAAATTTCCAGAATGTTTCCAAATTAAGGGAATGGAAGAAGATTTCTCTCAAGACAACTAACAGTAGATCCTTTCTAACCTAATTTGAAGGGAAAGACACACAGGAGACTTTTAAATACAACTTGCAGCTCTGTCTTCTATTTTTCTCTATAACCTCACAAGGATTCTAGGGATATTCTGTAGTCCACTCTGATAAACTTGTCTCATCTGTATTTATTTCTTCCCTTTACTCTTCAATGTCAAAATCTTTATCAGATTGAAAAGGCATTTCCAACCAGAAGGAAGAAGTTTGGCTTCTAATTGAATATTCAATGAAACCATTATCCTCTCTGTTCTCAGATATTAATCTTAATTGAGTGGCTATTTTCTCAGGCTCTCTAGCTGAGAACACCAGCTCTTCAGGGTGCTGGGAAATGTCTTGGTTAACACAATAAGATCATTCCTCTTGCAGTTCTCCCCCACCACGAACAAATATTCAGTGTCTAAGCCCAGGCACAACCCATAATTTTTGATTTACAGTTATTCAGAGTTGTTACTTTAGCCTCCAATGTTGAAAATCTTTTTTTTTTTTTCCTTTCCTGTGTTGGGGTATGAAATCCAGGGCCTGCGTACACTAAGCAAGTGCTTTCTCACTGAGATAATCCCCACACCAAAAAGCATTTAAAAAAAACAAAACTAAGCACAAAAACGAAAAGGATTGAAACTAGGTCCACATGAATGATTGGCATTGTGGTACAACTACCCTTGGATTATAATTCTGGTGAGTGGGCTTTTGCTGCAGTGATTTCTTTCTCAATTAGTCAGATCCATTTTAAATTTGGTGTGTGAAAGGTTCGAGAGCTGACTTCAATCAACTGACTCAGCAGGTATTGGTTGCTGGTGCAGTGAAATCCCATAGGCTTGAACGCTCAGAGCTGTTTCCCCAGCTTTTTCTCCAGGGGGATCCCAGGCTCTTGAGAAATGACAGACCAGATTCAGCACCACTCCTTATAGGCTATAAAGAGGAGAGAAGAAATGGAAGGGAGTGTGATTCTGATTATATTAATAAAATAACCTTTGTTTCATGGTGAAATTTCACCTATGGGTTTTTATAATCTAACATATACATGATAATAGAAATTTGCTGTTAATTTATGTAAATGTCACTGTTTATTTTGGGCCTTTGAAAATATATAACCTCTACCCCAACTACAGTACTTCTTCCCAAAAGATTATTCTCCCAAACAGACACTCAAAGGGCAAAAAACTTTTGCTAACTAGATGAATCTCTTTGGTTTTCCAAAGATAAGCCAATTGTTTTATTGAAGAATTAAACCAAACATGGAGCTTCCTCTCTTCATCTCCTGTTTTACTGAATATAAATATATGTATCATACAGTCAAGATAATATAACTAAAGTCTCTGTCCTTGTCTTATAGTTTAAATAATCAGGATGAATTAATTGCAAAATACTGCTCTACACGATTGATGTGAACATTGCTAAAATAAAGATTAAAAGCAGAGGACATTCTAAGAGTGAAGACCATCTTCCTGTCAGCTCATCTCTTCCTGTCTTATTGCAAACTGGTATGAAATGGGCATTCAAGTCATGTGCCTTCTGGCAAGGAGTCAGTGAGTCTTTACTCCAACAAGGAAACAACCTGATGGCTGGACTGGAGAGGACAAAAATTGACTGAGACTAATTTAGTCTCCTTAGCTCCTTAGTCTTTAGCCCAAGCTCCACTCCATGTGTCAATTTGGTCTCTGTCTCTCCCTTTCTCTCTCCCTCCCTTTTTTTCTCCTTCATTTTAAAAATTCTTTGAGACATACTATTTGAGAGCTGATAGAACTGAATTGCACTTTTGTTAGTGATCATATTTAGTAAAACAGCTGTGCCTCCAATAGCACAGGAGTGGACCCACTGTCTTTTCTTTGTAGAAAAAGCTTAGCCACTTGCTAGCTTACAGGGAACAACTATAAAACAAATTTGGATGGAAGGAAAGATGGGGTTCACATTAGGTGTGCCTTGCCCTTGCTCCTGTTTTTCCCTACATGCAGGGAATCATAAGTTCCAGCTCAATAGGTTACACCGTCTTCCTCCTGGCTAGAAGCATCACTATACCTCCAGGCATTAGATGCTCTTATGTAAATGAGAAAAATGAAGCCGGTCAGCTTGTCCTTAAAAAGACTTACTGTGAAATTTATTCAAAGAATCCAGTAAGTAGGAGTGTGATGTCTGCTGATGATTAATTAATCTGGTTATTAAGGTGAAGCTAAGGTGCTGAAGTATTAAGAATAATCGAGAAAACAGAGGCCTAGAAGATCCTCATGTGTGTTCCGGGCCCTAAAAAGAATTACCATTGAAGAGAAATACCCAAAGAACTTCAACCCAATAGCCCCTGTTTTGGGGAAGCTGTACTGTGGTGGGCAGAACTTTGATCTTGGACATGGAAGACCTGTGCCCTACTCTCTGTTCTGTGGCTTTCATTTTAAAGCTTCTCTCTAGGCATTAAAGAGTTGGCATACAAGGTGTGATAGATAAATGTTTAAAATTTAAAAATGCATTACTGTAAAAGATATTGCCATTAATCACACTGAAAATATTCTTCATCTCTTCTTCAAACACACATCCCATTGTTCTTTCCACTTTCTGAAGCAGTTCTAGAAGTCCACCTTCCTGTCTCTATGACGTATGATAAAAACAATGCAGTGAATGCTGCTCCTGAGTGCTATCCAAAGGGAAGGCAGACTCTTAAAAACATTATGGGTATGTCCTCAACTGCTTTATTCACCAGCTCTGGCACCAAAGGACTTCTGGCTCTTCCCCAAAGTCAAAATGTACACCAAAGGTAAACATTTGTAATCAATTCAGGACATCAAGGCAGCCACAACAGTTCAACTAAAGACTTCCAGAACTGCTTCAGAAAGTGGCAAGAGTGATACTTGTAATTGAAGCAAGGAGCTGAATCTTGACAAGAGTAATGGCAATGTGTCTTTTACTGTAAAAATTTAAACTTTATTTTTAATCATAATTTATAAGATTAAATGATTTGATTAATATTAAAGCACTTGTGATTTTGCCTCTGAAGGACACTTTACAAAGCCCAGCTTCTTAGACTGAGCAGCTACTGTACCATCTGGCTCTCCAGCTTGCAGACAGCCATTGTGAACTATCCTGCCTCTGATCCTGTAAGCCTATCTAATATATTACCTGTGTGATTACATATTATATATGCTTTTTTCTATTTATTTCATTCCTCTAGGGAACCCTAACCAACACTCTATGCAAGTAAATAATAAATGGTTACTCTAAAACATTTTACTGTGAAACTTTTCAAATGTATAGAAAAAATTCATACAGTGAACACCACATTCTTACTACCCAGTTTTTTTTAAAAATTGAGTTTATTGGTACATTTTAGGGATATGGTACAGTTACATTCATTATTGAGATCTTATACTGCTACATGACAAGTCTTGCTTCTCATTTTTTCCCTTTGTCCCTGCCCTCCTTTCACCCCCCAGTTTCTTTTTATTTTAATGTAATACGAGTAGATATTAATAAAGAAAATATTAAAAATCACTCTTCTTCTATGAAAAATAAAATTTCATAACACAATAATTAAAGGATAACAATAGTTAATATACTGTGGCCAAAATGTTACTCAGAGTATAAGCCATAGACAAAAAAGACTGGAAAAAAAAGTTGGAGGTAGGAGGTTGTGGGTTTGGTTTTTTTTTGAGACAGGGTCTCACTATGTAGTTGGGACTGACCTGGAACTCACTATTTAGCCCAGGCTGGTCTCAAACTCACAGTGATTCTCCTGCCGCAGCCTCCAGGGTGCTGGGATTACAGGTATGCACCACCATGCCTGGCTATGAGGAGGTTGTGTTTTGTTGGTTGTGTTGGAGGAAAGGAAAGTCATCATATGCAGTAAGTGTGTACAATCATATCAGAGTTGTAGCTCTTACCTATCCACTGGTCCATCTTAATGGTTTGCAGTTCAGTTTGACGCACAGACATCAGAACATTTCTGAAACACTTTGGTTGCCTATTTAGAGTCTCTATTTGAGCAACAATTTTTATCTGTATGTTTTGTGTTCGCATGAACACACCCGTGTATATTTAGATGCAGTTTTTATGCCTGAGCTTACATATGTTGGAGTCTGAGATGGTTAACCAGTAATGCCACTGCACTGCTGTGAGGACTACTGATGCTTTATGATGTTGTGTAGGAACTGTTGTAGGATGGCAGTGAAGTGGGTGAAAGTGAGAAAGACTTAAGAACCAGGATATGTTTTATCCCAGCTTCAAATCAAGGAGTCATTCTTTCTGCCTAAAGCTGCAGAATGAAAAACAACCCTTTTGTGGACACAGTGAGAATGCAGAATGCTAAATGGGAGGGACACAGTGAAGAAGAATTTAGCAGTTGCTAAGCAGATAAGAAGGTGAACAGATGAAGGAAATATGGAAGGCTGAAGGACTGAAGGACCACATATCAGATAAGCTATTACCATGGTAATTGGTGATAAATATTTTGTTGGCTGTGTTTGGAGGTTGGAGTGTTTTGTTGGTTGTGTTGGAGGAAAGGAAAGTCATCATTATGTAGTAAGTGTGTACAATTGCATACTGATGGTGTTTCCACCCACTGTGCCACACAAAAAGCTAAATGCTTTGCTACAATATAATTGTTTCACAAAAAAGAAAAGCGATATTGTGATGTAGGCACAGATGAGGAAACTGAGGCTTAGGGAGACCTCATGTCTCAAAAAGCACACTGTTAGGAAGCAACAGAACCAAGGCATGTCCTGATCTATCTTGTTTCAAACATATTCTCCTAACCACGTGTTTCACTATGAATCCTTTTCAGTATCAGAAACAAGTGTTTTGGTAACAAGATACGACTAGGAGCAGCTATAAAATTTGTGAGACTCTGTGTGAAATGAAAATATAAGATTCAGGTGAGCATGGTGGTGCACACCTGTAATCCCAGCATTTGCGAGGCTGAGGCAGGAGGATCACTGTTAATTTGAAACCAGACTGGGCTACATTGTGAGTTCCAGGTCAGTCTCAACTACATAGTGAGACCCTGTCTCAAAAAACAAAAAACAAACAAACAAAAAAAGGTTCATTTTTCCAAAGAGTATTAAGAATTTTGAGATAGCAACAAGAGGGCATTGCATAAATTGTAGGGCCCTCCTGCACTTAAGCCCTGTGGGACTGACTATACTGGGAAGATTCTTAGAAGGCTGGACTTGAGTGTGCTTTTGCAGCACGGGACTGAGATGCTCAGATCATCTACAGAACGTGAGCGAGACCAAAGAAGAGGAACCTAGTGTGTGCCACATGAAAGAACACGAGGTTGCCCCATCAACCTATTTAGTCAGTTGGAAATGTAAATTTATACAGCCACACTATACTGTATTTGCACTTTGGGGCATGTAGATTATATAGTAAAATATATGCTGAACTCTCAATGCTTGGTGGTGTCCAATCTCTCTGGACTTATTTTGTCATAAAGTTTACAGGTTAAACAACTACTCCAAGGTAGTTGGAACAAGTTCTTTAGACTGTCCCTGTTGACCATGCTGTCAACATTCTGGTGTCCCAGTCAATGAAAATACATAAGCATCCCTGCCCCACTCCCATGCCTCTCCAGTACAACTGTGACTTTTGCCAGCCATCCTAGTTCTAGTGGAAGCTTTATGACTTACATATAAGCCCTGCATCTCACACACACCCTCAATCACAGTTCTGAGTTTTTGTTTGTGCAGAAGGGACTTAAGGAGAGATGAAATTCTTTTCATGATGTATGTAAATAGACACAGCTCTTCCCAGGCAGAGTACTAAAGCTATCAAACTGGTGTTCAAACTGCTTCTGCCTGCTGCCTTGTATCCTCTTGGTTTGTCCCTTTCTCTTCTTTCTCCTTTGCATGAAGCCTTGCCATGGAGGGGGGGGTTGCATGGTTTTAGTACCATGATTCCTTATTTCCTTCAAATGACCCATTTCCTGTCAAGACCAGATCTAACTTTGATCTTTCTTCTTAATGAGTCTTAGTGGACCTTCCTCTTTCTCTTAGTTTCGCCCTATACAAATAGCCACAAGAAAATGAATCCTACATATTAATTTAAACTAAGATTAATAGCTAGTACTACTTTAATAGATCATGCTCACACTTTAACGTTCTCATTTAGTGAGGAGTAATGAAGGAACATGACTCTCTTGGGCTAAATTTGCAAGAGATAACCCCCAATGGAAGGACTACTGTAGCTGCTTTTAACTTATACAAATAATACTGTAAATATCTCAATGAAGGGGAAAATTCTGCTTTCAGTGAAGCAAGTGAGAAAACAACGGTAGTACATACTCATTCACTGTTAAATGACAACTTAAAAATACAATATTTGCTTATTAAATGTTAAAAAAGATAATGAGTGCCATAGTTGATGAAGTGGAAGTGATACTCAGTGCAAGAGGATAAATGGGTGCATACTTTCTAAGGGAAATCTAATGGTTCACTGGCAAAGATTATACACAGATACACATGCATACATACATTATAAAAATGTGTCATATACACACATACACTCACACATGTACACATGAAATAATGTATCTGAAGGACTTATTTGAAAGCTGCCGATGTCTTGTGCGGCCTGGCTCTGCCCACCTCTGCAGTCCTATGTCTCACCCTCTCCTTTCTGTCTTTGAGGTTGATCACAACAGCTTCTCAGTTCTTCAATGCACTTCATGTTGCACCTTGCCAAGGAGCTTCTTGCACGTTACTCGTATCCAGTCTGGCTAGCTGGTTCTCCATTCTTCTAATTAATTGCTCAACTCTCAGTCTAAGAGTTACCTTCCCAGGAAGACTTCTGAGGACACTACACCTCCCATATTTCTCTCCCCCAGCCTGGCCAGCTTCTTGCTTTTAGAGATGGCATTCCTTTCCCTGTGGTACTTAGCCTAGGAGGTGATGAGCTGCCCCCGTGTGATTACGGTATTCATCTCTGTCTTCTTCCACACAATTCAAGTTCAAAGTGAGCAGGTTGGTGCTGACCTTTCCATCTCCTGTTCCTGGAAAAGGGTCTGGTATGTGCAAGGGCCCCTCCCAAATACTTGGTAATTACATAAATAAGTGGTGGGATTATCATATATGTGTATTTTTGTGCTTTCTTGTATTTTTCAGATTATAATGGTCATGTGATACTTTCATAATAAAATTCGTCTTAAAATAATTTTCTTTCTGTTGGAGGCTGCAGTTGTTTTCCACAGCCTGCTGCTTTGGCTCTCATTGGTCTGACTGCTACTGGTCTAGGCTTATTTATGCCCGGAACATGATTATGCTGCATTGTCTGAAATTCTGCTCCAGGTGGGAACATTCTTCCCTGGCCATCATCTTTGGTTTGTTCACCACAAAGCAGGCAACTGGAAACCTGCTGTGATCTCTCTCTTGCTCTCAAGGGTGCAGCCTGGTGGCTTCTGTGACTCAGCAAATGACCCTTTGACAAAGGAACACAGCAAGCTTGTCTTGCCAGCTAATGACAAGTCAGTAGATTTTACTAAATGCAAGCTCTCCTGTCCTGTCTGAGGCTCTGTATCTTGGCATGAATCCTCCACACTTCACTCCACTCCTCTGTATTCAAGAGAACTATACCACTCTCACTTTCCCTGTGGTGTCAATCCTAAGCCTTTTCAGGGAATACATGTGATTTCATGGTTCCAGTTTGAGATTCAAGTTTTTGCTTTTTTGTGTACATAATGACAGCATAAATTTAATTATGTTGGAGCCAAGTGAAAATAATCTCTCCATATGGTGCTTCAGGTGGCATCTAAGATATTTTTAAGATTTCAGTGGACAAGTTTAAAAAATCCTGTCAGTCTGTAAACATTTTACCAGCCTCCACAATATTCACCTACACACTGCAGTGCTACCAGGATAATTTGTCATCTCAAACCCTCTTCAGAGAAGTTGAGAATAAATATGAATGATGCATCAAAAGAAAGAATGGCCTCAATACAAAGAGGTGTTATTCTGATGCGTCAAGGAAGTACTTTTAATTTTTATTTAAATTCTGCTTTTTTATGGTCCCATTTACCTGTCAGGCTGTGAACCCACATAAAGTGACTGTTGCAGCACAAAGCACTGTTTTCTTATGTCTGAGATCCTTAGATATGTTTCAGAAATCAGCTTTTTGATGCCATTTTCAGTCATGTGAGAGATGATGAGTAGCTATTGATCCATAAAACAACATCTGTTTTGGGGTGAAGCAGCAGTAGGCAAGTTGCATTTATCTGATGTTGAGAAGAAAAGCTGATTATCCAGCCGAGGGCAAATGAGGTGGAAACATCTTGGAGATTAGGTTTGTTCCTAGTGTCCTACATTTCAGAGGGATGTGATCATTGGCTTCATGTTTAATGTTTCCGATGGATAATGTTTCCCTCCCATCCATAGTTTGTATTCGGATTCACATAAATGTAAAATCTATTTTGGCGAATGCTGCACGTATAAATTTAACTTGGAATAAAGAAAAATGTGCACATTAGTGGTCCTGTGTGGCAGGTACTTTGGGATGATCTTGACATTCCGTGACAAATGACAAAACAGGTCTAGAGTGGATAAGGTAATTCATCCACATAACTAGCTAATGGAATGGAATATTCGGTCTTTTCTGTTATCTGTCAGAGGTCAATCCTTCTGCAGGAGAAATCAAGTCAGCGGTGATGACTTCATGTTGCCCTTCCCTTCATACTTTCAATATTCACTGTCAGTGCCTAGTCACTCTGACATCCATGCACCAAGTCTCCTTCCTGACATGAGTTATTGGTAGAAGAAACTCTTGCTCCTGGATGGGCACGTAATAGGGAGATGAGACTCTGAGGCACAGGCTATGTTACTGTCACTTCCCCTTCCTTTCTTCTCCTCCTGGATTTGCAGTCCTTTCAAATGGAGCCATCGAAAGGTTTGTATTCTTTTCTCGATTCCCTGCTTTTTTGACCACCTCTTCTGATTTTTCTAGGTCACACTTCAAGTTACCCATCCTTAGGGAAGGACAGTGATTTAACTATTCATAATATGCCAGGTATTTTTGGAGAGGAAGATAAACTAGACAATCCCTTCCCCCGAGTTGCTCTGAATGAGGAAGCAAATATGTCTACAGTCCTCAACGAAGGATGATGGTGTAAGAGATAGGTGAGCACAGAATTGGAAATGAATTTGCACAGGGAAGGCTTCATGGAGGAAGTAGCAGTTGAGCTGGAACTTAATGGTAGGAGGGCTTATTTATCTTGTTCTTTAGAAGATAGTATTTTGTGGTTGAACTATGATATCCATGACTTTCACTTTCTGTAAAGGTCACTGTAGTAAGACCTAGAAGCTTCAGTTATATTATGAGCTACATCTGAGTCCAAAGCCTAGCCTTAAACATCTTTCTCTTTATAGGAAAAGGATGGTTTAATCTTTTGGAAGAAGTTAAAGCACTAGTGATCTGTGGTTAGCAGGGCTGCTTTCAGATGGGGGTATAGGGCATAAGTACATTTGTGCACCACAGATGTTCTCCTGCCTCCCTCTCCCTTCTTCTCTTTGTTAAATATGCAACCTCAAGTGAGTTTTTGTCCTGTCCAATCTGTTGTTTCATATGTAAACTGGGATAATACTTACCTTGCTCCTTAGTTGTGAAGACCAGTAATTATGTTGGTAAAGTGATCTCTGTAAGTCTGGTCTTCAGTAGGCTTCACTGGAGCCAGTAAATGAGTTTTACTGAACTGAATATTCCCAGATTCTAGTACATTAGACACTTAGTAATTGTTTATTAAATGGGGAACTTATAAGGGTCTATAATCACTAACTTGTTAATTAGTACTTACCATAATAATGATCTATAACCTTTGAACTCCTTTATATTATATCTTTATTCATTGTCTCTTTGGGAAAATGTTTTTCTCCCATTCTCTTTAAACGCCTTGCTATAGTGTGGATATTAAACATCCGCCAATGGTCCAGGTGTGGGTTTAGTCCTTAGCCTGTGGCACTGCTGGAAGGTGATAGAACCTGTTGGAAGTAGAGCCTTGTGGAAGGAAGTTAGGTCATGGAGGTACGCTTTCCACTGGGTAATGGGACCCTGGATCCTTTTCACCTCTTCACTTCCCAGCCACCACAAGGTGAGCAGCAGTCTCTACCACATGTTCCTACCAAGGAAATCAGCCTCACCACAGCTTTGGGTTATGATCACTCTATTTTCCTTTCTAGGACTAAACTCTCATGTCCGTGATATTACTATATTTTGTTGGCATGCTTTAACAGATTCCTACATAAATTAAAATACTCAAATCCTGGAAAAATTTCCTTCTTCTCAATTAATATTAAATCATGGCACTCTTGTATTAGCACAACAGACTTGCAATTGCTCCTAATATATTTCAGAGGTGATGATTCAGTCTTGAAAGTGCTTTGAGGCTGCACTTTTAAAGCACCAATGTAAAGGTTGTTAATGCTTTTTTTCCCCTTCTAATTTAATGATGAATTTTAAACCAAGTATTAGCCTAATAGTATTTATATAACCCAGAGAGACCTCTGGAAGCCTGTTTCCTCATATACAAGCAGAGTTTACAGAGTGGCTATGAAGACTGAAGATAATGTATATTAAGTGCCTATCAGCATTTAGATAATAAGTAAGACAGGACTAAGTCAGAATTCTTTTTTTTTTTTAAGTCAGAATTCTTACAAACTATCATTTCTAGAAAACGTTGTGAGGGAAAAATCCCTTTAAATTAACTTGACGTTTAGTATTATTTGAAACAATCTACTCAGAATTCTGACCTTAAGTACCAGGGGTCACAGATTTTGTATTTGGGGGCAATGCCCTTTTTTGCCTACCTTGTTGGAAAAGATCCCCAAATCACATACCAAATTTCAATGTCATTAAGCCCTCAAATCCTCTTATGAAAAAGGTTGTAATCATTACTGGTTAGATCCTTAATTGGGGCAAAATTGTTTATCTGTTTATCAAGGTCCATTCTGATTCACTAGTGCATAAATAGTGGTAACAAGACCCTGAATTCTGTGGTTTGCGAACAAGCAGGCAAGCGAGGTCCCTCAATATCCGGACTCAATCTTTCCCCCACCGCCAGTCTTTGATCATTTTCCTGTGTAAACTAATTTAGCTTTTAATTAAAAGGAGTCAAACTAGTTTACCTGTCGCAGAGCAGTCCTGACTTGAGCTGTCTGGAGGTGGCCTGAAAAGGTGAGCGGGAAAATGAAAGTGGGGGCCTTGTATTTCTAAGCCCTCGTCCTCTGTTAGTTTGAGCACTGCACTGTGGAGAACACTCCCGTTTTACTTCGAACCAGTTCAGCGCGTATGCACGGAGAAGGCTAGGAAGCTGGCTGTGAGTGCAGCACCGCTAGCCCAGGAATCTCCACCTGCACCTCAGCGGCCCGAAGAAGGCCGCACCCAGTGACCGCTCAGCGAGGCCCAGTGGCTCGGCTGGTGATTGGGAGTCGCGGCCTCCCGCCCGCCTTGCCGTCCAGCGTCCGGGGAGCCGCTGCAGTTTTCCATTGGTTAAGGGCGCGGCTGCAGTTTTCCATTGGTTAGGATTCCTGCCAATCAGTTCATTGCTCACCTCCCCCAAACAGCTCGTCCGGCTGGCGCGTGCCGGGGAGGCGGGGCCTCCCGCTGGGGGCGGGGTCTCGGCTGAGGACTGCGTAGCGGCAGCTTCTGGCTTGAGCTATTGCTCTGGACTGGGGCGCAGCGTCCTCGCTACAGCCGCTTGGGCTGTAGCACCTGGTCAGGTAAAGAGAGCCTTGTATTCCTCCTGGCCGCCTGCCCCACCTCTTCCCGGCCAAAGGCTGCCTTCTCCGCCTCCCCGGCTTCAGGGTTCGAGTCAAATCACTTCAGCCTTGCTGCTACCTCATCTTCCTCCCCTTCTACATTGGCGCCTCCAGCTCCGTAACCAGCCAAGCTGCTCCAAAGTGCGTTGGTGGCCCCCTGGGTCACTCCAACGCTCCCCACTATAGACCTGGGGTTACCCTTAGGTCCTAGCCCTCATTCCCCGCCAGTGCAGACTCATCCCAGCTTGGCACAGGAAAGGTGGAAGGGACGAGGGAGGGAGGGATGCAGCGCTCTATTTTGAGGCTGGAAGTGCTTAGCTAGGACCAGGAGCACTGCAGTGGGTTTGCAAAGGGATGGAAGCGGCCTTAAGATGATGATTGTCCGGGACTAGAAGGGTATCTGTTGCTGCTTTGTGCTTGTGTTATAGGTGGCATTCACCAAAACCTTTTGCTTTTCTGTCACCATTATCTTCATCCTCCTCATCACCACGACCCACCATCAACAGCATCTCTCTTCTTCCATCAGAGCTCTTCAAGTTCTGTAAAGGCAGACTGTGTTCAGGCATGTAAGTGTTGTCCCTCCCCCCAAATATCAAGCAATGCCCTTGCCTCCTGAGAGCACAGCGAAGTCCTCTTTTTACCCAAGGACAAGTACCTGAGGGTGGGGGGGAGAGAGAGAACGAAAATGAATGAGAATGAATGGTGGTGGTCCTAGTGGGTTGACCCTTGAACCTCGTTTGTAGTAGAGATTGCCAAAGAAATGCTTTGTTTTAATCATCCACATTTGCAGATTACTGGAGAGTTTGACACTGGCACTTATGTACTTGGGATGGGCTGCTTGCAGTCTGGGACCTGTGGTATAGACCTGTACAATCTTAGTGTGATTTCAGGAATGGAGAGGTGAATGTTTAGACCCAGTCCTTTATGAGAATCTAGTGGCTGCAGTTATACTAAAGCGTGTTTACTATCCATATTTGCATATGTGGTGTGTGTTATCATGTGTGGTGTCACCTTTGGGAATCTTAGCTCTTCAGAAGGAGAATTACACTGTTTTATCTACATCAGGTAGCACGGTTATAGGTATACCACTGAGATTCAGTAGCCATCGCATAACTTTTTTCGGGGAATACTGCAAGAGCTCTTGGTCTGCAAACTTATTATCGCTCTTTCAGGGGGAAAAAAGTAAAACTGAGGATTACGTACCAGATTAACTATCATTGCGGAAAATGTTGCTTTACAAGAATTCTGTAAATCACAGGTCTCTTTAATCAGAGACACCTAAACATTAATTTCTTTCTCTCAATGGTGTTACAGTCCCATAATAGTACCAACAAATACAGCGTTTGTAGACATACTGGAGGAACTAGGAAGTAGTGGCCTTCCCTAGAGAGAAACAATGAGTAATAGTTGAGAGGCAGTGTATCATAATGGTTAAACTCAGATATAGGTTCACATCCTACACTAGCCTCTTACTACTTGAGTGATTTTGGCAAATCACTTACCCTCTTGATATTAGTATTTGATCTATAAAACAAGCATAATACTATCTGTACATAAGTTATGAAGATGAAAAGAAATGGTATATGTAAAATGCTTAGTAATTCCTGCCAAATAATAAATACAGGATTAATGTTAACTAGTCAACAAGTATAATAAAGGCTCTAAAAAAATGTGCATTTTTTCCCACTGACTTCTTCTGTACTTTTTAGATCGCAGAGCTGATGCTAATGGGGGCTGGTAGTTTTCAGGTTCCTCTAGGGATTTCATATTAGAAGGATGTCACTGATTGTAGCACTTTGTGTTTGGACTGACATTTCTCTCACCAGCCCATGCAAATGCTTAGCAAGCTGTCAGTTAAGATGCATTAAAGACAGCTTTAGAGAACATTTCTGGGCCTCTGGGCCTGTCTCTGGCTGTTCCTTTTCTCACTGACTGTTCAGTTCACTGACTTGATAAACTGTGCTTCTTACAGAATCATTAGTGAGTGCGTTGGCTTTTGCCCAAGGGAAACTAAACTGCTTTTCTTCAGTTGAGCATGGGAAGTGAAGAAACTCTAACCTGCCAGCATGGAATAACTTGTGTTTTACATTCTTTTTTTCCTTAAGAATATTTTCTTGTTCATATTGAAAACAGTAAGCAATCACAGAATATCTATGTGGGTCAGTTCTCTTTTAGGATGGGAGGTTAGCAGTTCTATCTGATTTGGAGGAAATACTTTGAAATTTACAGAATCTTGTCAGTTATATTAGTTAGAATCCTTTCCATTATATGAGATAGAAATCAGCAGAAAAAAAATTTAAGCAGAAATGAGCATTATTTACTGGAGTGAGTAGGTCTTGCTGAGGACGCTGGTCTACCCTCAGGTGGGTCCTAATGTATCATTCAGAGGCTTTCAAGATTGCAAGGTATCCTCTGATTCTTTGTCTCTGGATATTCTGGGTATCTTATTTTGTTTTTGTCTTTCAGTTCTGTTCTTGCTTCTCTTGTTTGTTTGTTTGTTTCAATACTGAGGATTGAACCCAGTGCCTTCCCACTGAGCTAAATCTATAGCTCTTTCTTTATTATTATTGTTATATTAAAAATTTTGGACAAGGTCTCTAATTTCCTAAATTGCCCAGGTGGAGCTTAAACTCGTGATCCTCCTGCCTCAGCCTCCCGGAGTGGTGTGATTACAGTTCTGTACCACCACACTCTGCTGGCCTTATTTTTTTCTATCACAAACTCAGTCCTGTCAGTACCCTCATAGCATCTAAATTCACACCTTTCTAGCTCTGAAGCCCAAGAGTAGCTCTATTCTTCTCCAACTCCAAAAAAAAAAAAAAAAAAAAAAACCC